AATACAAGTTATTTCATAAAAATACACAAGAAATCATAAAAAAGCTTTATTTTTCTTAAACAAAAGACACATAAAGGAATCAGAACAGTCTACTGCCAGCTATACTGAAAGGGCCAAGAAAAGACTTTTTTCAGAAACAAATGCCTTACAAGAACTATTAAATTTTAAGAAGTTAACGGAGAATGGGATTCTGCCTATGAAACAAAGCTAATTCCTCAAAAAAAGATCAGAGATTTTTGCATTGAAAGACTTTAATATTTGTTGCATTTGCAGTTTCAAACCTTCAATTAATTGCCAGTCTCTGAACTAAGATCAAGTCTGCTGAATTGAGTGCTAGTTTCAATACAGTCTCTACACAACAAAAGCACAGCAATATGCCATGTTAATACAGCAAACCCACAGAGATGCTGTCACCTTACCCCAGGCTCCTGTCAACACTGAATAAACCACACAAAATAAACTAGACTTTAGAACTTAATCTCTGGGTAATGGTCACCTTCAATATTCACTGACATGTTCGTTCTTAAGGTTTTAAGAAAATGTTGGCTGTAATGAACTGAAAAAGCACTATGGATAAAGCCTTCCTCCATTTATGATTTGCTCTGCATTACCCCTTTTCACTTTTTATTTTAGGACTGTCAGTTTAGCTGGAAAAACAAAACAAAACCCAAAAAATACAACTACCTCTTTTTAAGGATTTCAATTATCTGGCAACAAACTCTACTTTCTTTGGGAATCAAGGGATCTGCTGGAGTCAATACATGCTCAGAGCTCCATCACATCAAGCAAAGCACACTGCCTGCCAGCAGTCACATAAGCAGCACTGAAGACAGCTTCACTAAAACTTCCAGCAGAAGCTGGAAAAAAAAAAAAATAAAAAAAATCACGCTGCCTTCCCAAGCACACTGCATTGCACAGCCCTGGTTATTTCATACAATTTCAGGTCTCTACAACAGCTATGTATGTTACAAAAGGGTGAAGATTTGTTCAGTGAGTTTGATAAACAGACCAAATTCCTGTAACAATCTTCTTGTATTTTCATTAACTAAAGCATTTTAAGTATTGCACAAGATACAAACAGATCAAGACAAGAATCATCTTCAGTGCTTCTAAAATTCAAAAGCTAATTAACAGAACTTCAAGCTTCCTTATACACCACTGTAAAGAATAATGACTTGAAAATGTTTGAGCCTTAGCACTGATTACAAGGCCATGCCTCATGTTAGTTTGGGAACAACACAGCATATAGTATGCATTCAAACAGCAAACAGCTACAACACAACAATGTTCACAAAAGCACTAAAGCACATCAGAGAAGAAAATAACTTGATACATGTTAGCAATGCTAAATCCTCAGTGAAGCTCATACATTTTGGTTGCAATGGGAAAAAACGCATGAAGAAACTGCTGAAAAAGCAAGGTTAATCTTTCAGTTTTATGATGCTTCTAGTTCATTTCCTTTTCCCATGGGCAAAGAAATAGCTTTCAATAATAATGTTCTCTTTTTTGTTCCTAAATGTCTACTTACTGTCAGTAATATCACCAAGAACCAAATTTTTCTGAAACCAAATCATGTAAGCAAAAACTCTTATCTAATAAGCAAAACTAAGTAAGGGAGATGAAGGGTGGAGCACTTCACATTCTACTGCTTTAATTTACATCTGATTTTAATACTAAGGTTCAACAAATAAGATCAGAGTATGCCTATAGTACGTCCCACACAGAACTTTTAATGTGTTAGCTAGCAGGAATGAAATAATATAAAGTTATATTCACATTACAACCTGCAGGTAACTAATCCTGATTGTACTGCTAATATAAGTTAACCTTCTTTCAAGCAACAATGCGGACATTTAGATTTAGATGCATTCTTCACAAAGATACGAGGCACATAAAAAAGTCACCTAATGCTTGAGGGTAGAAATATTCCATTTCACCTGATGTATTTTTATTGCTGATGTTAAATTTTCTCATAAAGTCTGTGTTTTAGTTCTAGTCAGATGCTCGTAACATTTATTTCGCAGCTCAGTTCTTTAATTCAAATCTCAAGTGTCTGGCAAGCAAAAGAGAACAGCATACCAACGGCACTGAAAAGTGCATTGCCTTTTCATACAGTCCTTCAACTTGCAGATGCCACTGAACAGCTGCAAGAATGAATATAATTTTGGGTGGCACTGTCATGCATGTATCCTGCAAATTGGAGGAGTGAGATAACATGTGGGCCATTCATTTAACAGTAAAATTGATCCAAAGCTTACTGTGATCAATGAAGAAGTTACCATCAAAAAAGTGAATAATGAGAGTTTTTACAAATGCCTTTCAACAACAGTAGTCAGGATTGCCTGAAAATGTGGTTGAACTGTGAAGTTACAGCACCTTGCACCTCTTAAAAAATAGCCAGGGCAGAAAGTGCAACTCTGTCTGGAACCTGGGGACTGTTTGTTCCTCAGCTACAGTTGCTGAATGCTTTCTGTAATAACAACCAAGGTGGTAAAAAAAAAACCAACACAACAAAACAGAATCAAACTGCTATCAGAACACCATGAGGCTCTCACAGCAATTCTAACCCTGTGGAGCACGTGCAACTCAGAAACTATTTTTCTCCAGGTAAGTCTCTGTTCAATAAAGTTCACTCATTAATGTGTTCAGATGAGCGAAAGCATTACTATCACATCTTATCTTGTATTAACATAAGACATAAATTAAAAGAGAAAGGAAGAAACAATAAATTTCTCTAGAACTACCCATATAAGACTTCATTTTGGTGCTTTTATGTAATACTATTGCTTGTTTCTCAAGCTTAGCTCTAATTTTGAGAAGTTATGAATGAGAAAAAATTTCAGGTAGAAATCAAAGAAGTAATCTGAAAGTTAACCCTTTCTTACCAGCAGGAATTATGCCAATCCTTATATTGCACTGGACTAACGGTGCTTTGGGATTATTTTGGTCTATGCCAGAGTCCTTCTGCATTCTTCCAATGAGACCATGCATCACTTCACTGAACATGCCGTCCCCACCAACACAAACAACACTGCCAGGAAACACAAATTAGAATGCACACTAACAGTCAATAAACAACACGGCAAATGTTCTACTTAGGGCATGCAATGCACATCAAAATTGTCTTCTCCTCATCCACTTCTACAGACTATAATAGCCCACAGTCAACTTGGCATTAAACAAAACGCAGAAAAAAAATTCAAGCTACACAACCATTAATGCACCTAGACAGTTCTGTAATGCTTGAAAAATATTGGAATGCAACCTAAAAAGCCCTCTCTATCCTCTATTGCTGTATGCAGACAGACAGATATCAGTGGAAAATAATAATACAGTGAAAACACTGAACAAGACTGTACATATAGCTTCTGAAGTAAGCAAAATGGCAATTAGGTTTTCACAAAAAAAAAAAGGAAAAAGTAAGTTAGTATTTATAAATTACAAAAAGGGAAAGTTAGTATTTATAGATGCAGACAGAAGTGACTTAACACTGCACATTTAATAGGGGCACACATTACGCGAACAGAAAAGCACATGCTTGCATGCTCTTTTGACCATGCTGCTAGCCCAGACAGACAGAAGTCAGGTATATCTAAATAACCACTCGTAACAATGCAGAGCTCTAACTGTTAAGAGAAGCAAAGCTTTGGTTTACAAAATTAATTCAAGTCAGAGATGGTGCCGCAGCTACACAGATCTTCAGAAGTTATAGCTCAGCAGAGTTCACACCCAAGCAAATACTAGGAAATAAAAAACTATTTTACAGCAGTATACATTTCATGCACATTTATAAAACGCCCACTCTGGTTAAAGAATGTTTATGATTTTGGAGTTCCAGAGGCTGCAGTTCAAATACACTTTGAATAGAGATGAGACGAATCAAAAGTTACACATATATGATTCGGAACATTTTCTGTTTTCCACAGCAATTATTTTCCAATGCAGAAACTAACACTCTTCCACAATCAGCAATAGATATTGCAGAATGAGCACATATCCCACTGGACAAGTTAGCTGATTTACATTTAAGAACCGATGATTTACATTTACTTATTGCTGTTTTTTCAGCATGAGGGAATCCTGAGAAAACAGTCATTTTTTATTTCACGAATGGAGAAGATAGTCTTATAAATACACTGCCCAGCTCTAAATCAAGACCTAAGAGACTGAGAGAAGGGAGAAAAAGATTTTTGTTTTTCATTTTCATAATGAAAATATCTTTTCAAAACTTAGTTACTTTACTTCTCAGCTTCAGAAACCTGTCTCATCTTTCTGAGTAGCCTCTAAGAGGAAGTAGGCAAAAGTTTCCACGTGAATTTAAGGTCTATGCCATGCTGGTAGTGTTCTTGATGTAACACACAGTACGTGCAGGCTTAGTGATGACAGAATAATAGGAACCTGTATTCCTATCGAGGGTAAATATTGACAGTTGAAAAGAAATAAATCACATACACAAAATTAGCGTGATCAAACTCACTGCAAGCATCAGGTCATCAATGTGCGAGACACACGTATGAAGGTACCCTTGGAGGACTACTCTAAGAGAGACCTTCCTGGCGTGCTTCTTCCATTTTGGATTTATTTTTCTAATGGAATAGCACTTCACTTGTTAAGGTAATATCAGTAAACCGTAAGGACTGATCTGAAATTAATGCTCCCTATTTTGTTGTGCTGGCCCATGACCTCAGAAGGCAGATGTTGATGGTACGGCAGTAGGTTTGAACCTTCCCCCCAGTATACCACTACGTTTTGCAGCTGTGTGACAAATGGCAGCAGAGAAGCAGTCTTACAGAATGGTGTGTGACACAGAAGTGCATGTGAAGTAAAGGTGTGTCACTGAATTCCTCTGTGTGGAGAAAATGACACCCACTGACATTCATCTATGCTTGCTGATTATTTGTGGAGAACAAACAGTGGATGCTGGCACAGTGAGTGGAGTGATATGTTTCAGCAGTGGTGACAGCAGTGAAAACAAGCCACACTAGGGACATCCTTGAAGCTTGTTTTTTTTTTTTCATGCAGGCATTACTGGTGAAAACACAGATTATAATGGTGACCATGTTGAAAAACAGTGTTTTGTAGCTGACAGTGTGCTCTTTGTAGTTGTTGTAGTTTCCATGGAAATAAATAGCAGGCATTACTTTCAGAGTGACTCAGGTAGATATGCTAAAGGTCATGAGTAGCAAGCCCATGAGACAAATGAGTTTTAAATGATCTATGGTCCCTTCCAACCTCAAACTCTCTGAACTAATTCAAAAACCAGAAAAAAATGAAACAATTTTACATGAGCTTGTTCCAGTATCATCCTTACCCGTATCAGGTTCATTCCACACACAGTCATTATTTGCACAGTATTACAGCATGTAAAACAGTTACGTTCTACATAACAACGTACAAGAACCTGTACTGTATTAACGCATGAATGGCACTTTAATCATATGCAAGGGGAAGCCACACTACCACTGAGCTGTTAGAATAGTACACTCACTGCAGGAAATCTGTATTAGAAGAGATGGGAAGAACAAACAGAAAACACACATAAAAGGTTTAAGCATACACACTGAGAAGGCAAAGAAGCAATTATCATTAGGAATCTCTATCTAGTTCCAAAAAATTCAAGTACATCTTTTCTAAATAGAGAATCTGAAGAGACTGAATAAAGAATCTAAACACTCAAGGAAAAGTCACTTAATAGAAGTGATCTGCAAGGACAGGTGAACAACCATTGGATGCAGGAATCCAAAAAGACTTTTCCTGTATGTGAGAAGAGTCTACTGAACTTGAAGATAAAAACACATTTACATGATTTCTTTCTTTCTTTATTTATTTTTAGTTTTCAGTTAACCGCATCATCTGCTGTTTAAAAAGTAGCATGAGTAGAAGAATTGCTTCCTAATGTCATTGTTCACCACAGAAACATACTTGTACATAATGATCAAAAGCCAGGCTTAGAAACACAGCTGCAGTTCCCAGGCTGCCATTGAGGCCTATTCTGGGAATGGAAGAGTCAAGAGATTGTAAGAACATGCGCTACTTTGGGCAATTTTTTATCTCAATCACATTAAAGAAAGTAAAAGCAATCCCCACCACAAGATTTAAAGTGGAACTATCAAAGAGAGATTCAGAAATCCTTGAAGTTCACACTAGGCATTGTTCGAATATGTGAAAAAAGTGTTTCAAGTACCACTACACTCAGTGACATTTGCTGTAAAAGCAAGTTGCCAGGAGGAGATTCTATTTAGAGATTAACTTTGGAACAGGGAAGACTCATTCTCCTTTTAATTTTGCTATATAGCCCAAGATAATAGAACCGCCTCTGTCTGGAACTAAACACCTCAACATCTTATTCTTTCAGATTCTGCTCTTATTCCTAAACTTACAACATGCAACTATCGCAGTTCAATACAGATACACCGCATGGTAAGAATCAGTAGTTTGTTTCTGTGGGTTGTTGCTTGTTTGTTTTTAACTCAGAGAGTTAACAATCTTTTCAGAGAAGCAAGGGTTCCCTCTGCTTGTCTTCACAGTTGATATTACAACATCGCTTATAGCCTTCCTTCTTTCCTTAGAAGTCCCAAAATTTGTTTAATAACTTGTTCTCCTGTATTTCCTAAAAAATATTCACTTTTACTTCTCTGATGAAATGGTAAATTGACTTAATGAGAAACATAAACATGCACAGCTAGCAACAACACATAGTTCACATCAATAGTAATTTACATCAATATAAAGTGTTAGAACTTTCATGCTGAACTACTAAATACTTTACTAGACTAAATCTATAAAGACTATAACATTGCAGTAGAGATGGAGTCCTCCCCTTTAAACTAACAAGATCAGCTATAGATTCTAAATCTCTCATGAGAGTAGACTAGTTAGGTAGCTGCTGACCCTGCAGGCCAGAACAATTACCATTGTGGGAACCTCTTCTTACAATAACCAATTCTACATACTGACTTGCTTAATTTTCTTCCCCATTCTGTACTGAAACTGCATCAACCTTCAGTATTATATACTTCATATACTTAATTCAAATGAAATAGTTAAGAATACTAACTTCTAAGTTACTTTCTTTGAATGTTTGCAAAATTGAGGAAACTGTCAGTACTACAAAAAACAAAACAAAACGCACCTGTTCATTTTAAAGCAAGTCTAGGATCTTGCTTTAAAGTCAAGGAACTCAATTTGCAAATGTAGTTTTTAACTGTAACAATTTGCCAACATTATGCACTTACTTGATTTACAACCATGCATACAGATTTGCAAGAATACTCTGAAGAGATAGGAGATTTTTTATTTTTGTAATTTACCAGCTTAAAAGCACCTGCCTCCAAGCATAGGAAGACATAACTTTAAAAATACTGTAGATATGAGTTTATTTACATAGGTTCTGCATACGTTTTCATTATTATATCACTACATAATCCACTTCATGTCATGAAACACAACTAGAATGACTAGTTTATTTACTAAAATATTTTGCTTCTATAGCAGACATAATAACAGAATGCAATTTTACTGTTCAGCTGGGTCTTCTTCTGAACCAGTAACTTCACAAACAGAAGAAATACAGGTGAAAAACATAAAGCTGAATAACCCAGCAGTTATCTGCACTTGACAAGAGTGGTTTTACACATAGTCAAGATGCCACTAAAGCAATTTTTTGGACTCATGTATGTGTCAAAGTCATCTGCACTACAAAACAATTCATGATACCTTCCAGGCTGCCACAGAACGCTCAGGTTCTGGGCCAGCAAAAGTAATCTTACATTGATCTGCACAACAGCCTCATGCAAACACCATTATATTTCATTTGAATATATTATGTGTCGAACACGTTTACTGAAACGGAGCAGTTTTCCTTTGACACTCCTAAAAGTGCACATCCTACTGTGGAAAAGAACACGTCCTGGATCTTTGATTTGTTGCAAAAAACACATCATCAATTAATGCTATTTTAAGTTAGAGACAAGAACACATACATATCAGCTAACTTAAAAAAAACCACAACACCAAATGAAGTTACTTACCCATCATATTTATTAATATTAACTTCAAATAAGTTCTCCTTAGCATGGTTAGCATGTTCAGTTACTATGAAGAAATGAAAAAATACACACTTAAAAATTACAAAATATTGTTATAAAAAGGTATATGCATTTGTTAAAATTGTTATTAATTTATTAATAAGGATAACTCTACTGCCAGTATGACATAAAATCAACTCGCCCATAAGCCGTGCTTCAAATAATTTTATGCCAAAGAAAGAATTGAAAAATAGGGTAAATGTAAAAAAAAATTTCACTAAAAACTGCGCAAGTGAACAACTGCTTTTAAACAGTAAAACTGAAAAAGTATTTAATAAATGGAGAAATTCAGTAGTACCAAAACTTAAAAAAATAAATAAAGGAAAGAACTAAACTACACAGAGATGCTTCAAAATCTATATAATGTCTATCAAGGTACTAAAACATTCTTTACTCACCGACAACATCAGTAGAAATAGAAGCCAAACTGAAAAGTGGAGCAACTTTCTGTTCATAAATCCTCTTCCCTTGTCGCTTTCCTCCATATGGATTAATATACACAAGCAACTGCTTTGGTCTACACTCTGGTATAGAACACAGTTATCTATTAGAACATTCCCACTTCCTCAGACAACATTCTAAATATGTTCTAAATTTTTATTTTAATGGAATAAACAAGTATTAGGTCAATACACTTACATAATAAATCCAGCTAAACAAAGCTAGACTTGTTTGGATGGTTTAAAGTTACCAAAGGCCCAAAGCACTATCTTTTCTGAGAATGTCACCTTTTAAGAAAGTTATCAACAGAAAAAACACTTGGAGATAACTGCCCAGGCCATATGTCTCTCAGATCCAATTAGTAGGCACATAAAATCCATTTCTTAAATGACTTTATTGGAAGTCAGGCCCCACACGTACCGTATGGAAAAGAAAATCAGTAGTAAGAGGCACACACTCAATGCCTATGCAAACAAACATTTTTTGTTAAATACCTATTTTTGGTCTCTGAGCCTTAAGTCCTTACCTGAATCATATTTTAGCTGTACCTGTCTCCAGTCTCTTCTCTGGCTTTCAAATGGAACTCAGACCTATACTGTAGTTATCTTTCCTCCAGTGCTGCCTCCACCCACCTTCTGCTGCTCCTGCCTGGCCCCCTCGATAGTCAGCATCACTTCGCGTTGTCTAGACTGTAGATAGGACCTGTTGCTATCCTTCATCCTGCTCAGACACAGCTGAGGCTGTACTACTGTTACCCTTGGCTTGCCTTCTGTTGTGGAATTATTTCCTTCTTACTATTTCCTGACAGATATCAACACAGGTAATTCCTTCTAAACTATACCTAGCCTTCCATAAAGTAAATGCCCAAGAGTTTCAGAAATTATTACTCAGAACTCTTTCCACAAAAGGTAAGTATATTATCCTGAAAGTAATGCCTCCTATTTATTTATTAGAACAGATACAAGGAGCACAATAACACTATTCAATAGAGCAAATTCTCACCTACAGAACACTTTTTCAATGCAGGAACCACCATTAACTATGCATTTTCATCACTGACAAACAAGAGCATGTATGTCACACTCAAAAATCTGCATGCCCATGCAGAATCACAGAATGGTCTGGGTTGAAAAGGACCACAATGATCATCCAGTTTCAATCCCCCTGCTATGTGCAGGGTCACTAACCAGCAGACCAGGCTGCCCAGAGCCACATCCAGCCTGGCCTTGAATGCCTCCAGGGATGGGGCATCCACAGCCTCCTTGGGCAGCCTGTTCCAGTGCGTCACCACTCTTTGTGTGAAAAACTTCCTACTAATACTTAACGTAAACCTCCCCTGTCTCAGTTTAAAATCATTCCCCCTTGTCCTATCCACCCTCGTAAGCAGCCGCTCCCTCTCCTGTTTATATGCTCCCTTCAAGCACTGGAAGGCCACAAAGAGGTCTCTCCACAGCCTTCTTTTCTCTAAGCTCAACAATCCCAGTTCCTTCAACCTTTCCTCACAGGAGAGATGCTCCAGCCTTCTGATCACCTTAGTTGCCCTCCTCTGGACTCATTCTCTGCATCTTTCTTGTACTGGGGGCCCCAGGCCTGCACGCAGTACTCCAGATGGGGCCTCACAACAGCCAAGTAGAGGGGGACGATCACCTCCCTCTCCCTGCTGCCCACCCTTTTTTTAATGCAGCCCGTAACACAGTTGGCCTTCTGGGCTGCAAGCGCACACTGCTGGCTCATGTCCAGCTTCTCATCCACCAGGACCCCCAAGTCCTTCTCTGCAGGGCTGCTCTCAAGGAGATCTTCCCCCAGTCTGTATAAATACCTGGGATTGCCCCAACCCAAGTTACTGCACCCTGCACTTGGCCTCGTTGAACCTCATTAGGTTTTCACGGGCCCACTTCTCCAGCCTCTCAGGCCTCTCTGGATTGCTTCCCTTCCTTCCAATGTATCAACTGCACCGCCCAGCTTGGTGTCATCTGCAGACTTGCTGAGGATGCACTCAATGCCATTGTCTGTGTCACTGATGAAGATGTTGAAGAGCACTGGTCCCAAGACTGACCCGAGGGACACCTCTTGTGACGGGCCTCCTCCCTGACACTGAACCACTGCTGCCATCTCTCACACAGTAACAACATGTAACAGGATGCTGGTGTGGGAGATTCAACTTCTACTGCCACCAACATCTGCCTATGACACTGTGGGCCAACATAATAAAATAGGAGACATTACTTTCGGAGCAGCCCTCACACACTGGTAAATACAAAGAGTGGATACGCAAAGCGGAAAAAGTCACCCACAAGTGTGACAATTACTATAATACTTGCCCTTGGATCTCCAAAGTACCTCAAATTTCCAATTTTAAACTTGCTCCTTCACAGAATCTTTTAAAATCTCTGCTAAGTTTCCAATGTGTCTCTATTTTGCAAAAAAAAGGAAAATTATATCCAGGGAAAAGGTGCAAGACATTTTAGTCCTGATTGAGAGTAAAATACACATTTAGTACAGCTTAGAAAATACGTGTGATGCAAAGTAATGACAAGAGAAGTGAGACATTTCAATTCCCACCTCACTTACTTCATAAGCAGAAGCTAGCCTCAAGAGCTCAAAAATATATCAGAGATCTCAAAATAATCTTAATTGACACACATTCATAAAATTGTGCTGCCAATGTTGGTGCTTCAGTTGAACTTACTCTGCATTTCAAGTAATTCTTTCAGTGCCTGTATCCATTGGTTACACAAGTACTCATCAGCACACCAAAACGTCACATCTCTGCACCGCCAGCGGTGATTTCGGGCTTTTTTCACGTAATAAACTAATGAAGAGAAATACATAAATAAGGGGAAACACAATGAGACTGTTCTGCAAAATGGGAAATGCATTTCAAACGCACCTCCAAAACATCTGCCTTTCTGAAGAAGCGGTAATTAACCCTCAGTACACATTTCTGCAAATGAAAGGATTCAAAGCATAAAAGGTAAAACTGCAAAAATAAGTGAAAATATCCGCTCCAGGTCCTCACCTTACCTCATAGCAGGTACTCAACCACCAAATGCAATTCATTCTCCATAAACTGATACACAAGATGTACACAAGTTCACTAAGCATACACTGATTTTTTAAGCTTTATCCAAGCCTGCATTATCTACCTGATATAAACGACCATAAGCTTACAAGGGTTTGGGATATACTTGTATCAGGTCCCCTGTAACCAACAGAACAGGGTGAATTTAATTTCATAAAGCTGAAACTTGAGAAAAAGTAGTTTAAAAAAAAATTGTAATAACAGAAAAAAAGTTTAAATCTTCTTGTGTATTTTGAACTAGGTTGACGAGAACATAAGTGTTCTTACTTTTCCATCTACAGTATCACCAAACAGTAATACTGAAGGACTGAATGTGAAGAAAGCATTCTATAAGATAAACCTTTGTTATGTGAGCAATCCCATTTGTCCCTGCTTTGCAGCACTGTTTCCCCAAAACAGTCTAAACATTTCTTGGCACTTCAAAATCACAGTCAGTAGCACAAACAACATTTATACGCACACATTCTGACAGTTAGGGATAATTAAAAAGAAAACAAACAAACCCAAACATGTAGGGGTCATTTTTTTCAGCCTTCTGACTTCCTAGTGAAGCAGTATAAACCAAGTGTTCTACTGCAGATCCATCCAGCAGCAGAAATACAACATTAGCTAGCACTTCACAACGTAACTCAAATGGCATGAGTTCCTAAAAGAAGGGTTTAATTTTTCAAAGAAAATATAAATGCATGCTGAAAGATATCTTATATACATCTTTTCTGTTAAAAATAATATTCATTCTGAAGATTCCTTTCCTGTCTGCCCTATGATATCTCCAACAAAATAATCACTGTGTGCCTCCCGAGCCTCTATGTGCCTTACCTGTGAAAGCATGGGGCTTTGCCATTTTTTGCCATTTGCCAGTACTACGCTGTTTCTTGTTCAGTTCAGTTTCTTCTACAGCAATGATCTCAGAGGTTGGTACAAAACAGTTATCTGTATGAACAAAGGTTTTACACATGTACATCTTAAAACAGCACCAGAATGATTATTTCTATACACGATACAGTAATACATTTAAAGCAACTCATTCTTAAACACAGTCAAGAATGTAAGTAGAAATCTGCTGAATATTTCCAATTTCCTCTTGCATTTACTCCAAGCACACCATCCATAATCACCTATGCATTATCTTCATTAATATTTAAAATGACTACAATTTCTGTGAAAGGTAGATATTCTGAGCATAAGAACGTTTTTCACATGAAGCCAAAATCCAGTAATGCTGCTTTCAGAGCAAAGAAATTGCCCCTTCAATGACCTCTAACCCAGATATGTGTCAATGAATAGCACAGGTTATTTCAAAGGACATGCAACAATCTAGTGGCAAAGACTACCAAGGCTATTTGCCACTCTCCAGTAAGTAGACGGCTTACAAAAGAAGGGCATTCATATGAATTCTTACATTTTTAAA